TAACCAGATTTTTTTTCCCCTGGCCACAATGTCTAGCTGCAAAGGGTTGTGGATAGCAAAAGACAGGAAAGGAAGGGGTCACCAAAGCCTTTGGTTCTGTTTCTTTAAAGTGCTTCTAGCAGGCTTACGCAGCAGTACTCCAGTGAACTGGGCTTCCTTATCTGACAGAAAAGGCAGAGACATAAATAGAGCCATTAGGAGCTTTTTGGTTCTTTGAGATGATATTAATAGAGCCAGATTTTGGAGAGCTGAATCTGGCTCATAGGTTACAGGCTTACCATCCCAGTTGTAAGAAATAAGACCATACTTATACTATTTACTTATAAAACACTTAACACTACCTTGGGTGCTCTAATATACCTTAATGCTATTCTAAATTTGATTGCAAATGTTGCTTGATAGCAGAGTGGAAGGTTCTAAATGCCAAACTGAACATTCCAAACATTCTGTTTGTACAAGGCCAGCAAGGAGGTGGGGGCATTATTTTCACTTTTTTGGTGGGAGAAAAAAAATCCCTCCATTGGGTTTATATTGGCAGGAAATATATTTAAACCTGGTTCACACAGCATACTACCCAGGACCCGGGAATGTGCTAAAGCCAGCACAGTGGTTGTACTGAGTGTTATTGGTAAATGTGATTACCTTGGCTATGAATTTTATAAAATGTTTATGATGGATTTTTATATGCCTTTGTATTGTTCTTATTGTTTTAAACTATTGTATGGTCTGGTTATTTTATACTGTTTTAACTGTTTGTAAGCTGCACATAGTTATATATATAAGATGGGAGGTTATATAAATTGGAATAACAAATAATAAATAAAAAATACTAAGCTCTAATAATAGATTATGGCTTTGTATATTCTGTGAATCCAGCAACTATGGTTTATAAAATAAACTGTGGTTAAACAAAATATAGGTTCATGCAAAATGTGAATCCAGTTTTAGACAAGCTACTGTAGTTCAAATATTTGTTGCATTTGAGGTAGTGAAGGATATGGCCCATGTTTTACACCTCCTGGGCATCAGAGGTTCTGACACAGAACAATCAGCTTCAGTTATGGAATCGGATAACACAGATGAAGAAAAACGAAGGAATCTAAAGCTCGCATGGCATTGTCCCAAGGGTAGAAGACTGTGGCTTTATCAACTAGAGACAGAGAAATAATTTACATTTTAAAATCGTTTCATAGAAGTATTTATAAAAACTGCAGTTGGCAGTCACCATCTTAAGAGGATTTTCCATTTCTTCATATTCTGCTTCAATATAGCTATTGTTCCAGGCTCTCTGCTAGTAGTGCCTTGAGACTCTTTTTCTGTGAGATGCTATAGGAAATACATTTTGATTCTAAGAATACCTGATCAAAATTGAATTCCATATCTTCTAGTTTAAGGGATCATGCCAAAATATACCCAGAAAAAGGTATGTGACAACCTTTTTCCTCACTAACCCCTCTGTACTTCATTTAAAATAACAGTTTATGACAGGCACAAAATCATCAGAACCCTATTGTGGAAGAAAGTGATGAAAGCTGTATCAGTTGAAGTGATTCCTATATATGTTCTGAACTGTTAAAGGTGGAAGAGTAACACTAAGGGAAAAAAAACAGGAGAATGAACCAGCACTCACACCTTAGTGTATGTAGGTATAAGTCTTACATCAGCATCCATGCCTCTGAATGAAGATGGCACTTCAGGTACTAAGATTTCCTCTATCCCAACTGTAACTGAAGATTATAGTCACTGGCATGACTCCAAAGCAACTCTCTTGTAAAGAAAACATGCATCTGTGTAGAACTTCAAATTCCATGAGGATTTTATGACATTTATTACACCTGGACAATAACTGTGCCCTTTAACTAGGCCACACCTTTAGGCCAATATAAAGTCAGACACAGGAGATTTGCCATAGCCCATCAACGTCCCTACTCTGCTGTCCCTAATATTCAGAGATATCAGTGCCACCCCGTATATCTCCTCTGTAATTATCTCTAGGTGTTACTGTAGTTAGAAGTCCTCCACTGCTTGGTTAGGCCACAAAAGTCCGGACCCTACCGTCAAACAGCTGGGACGAGTTTTCTCTCTCAGGGTCCTGCAGATATTTGCAGCCCTCGTTCTGGTTGCAGGAGAAGATAACATGGACGTATACGATTCCAACAGGTCTGAAAATACGAAGGATGTACGCAGCGCTCGATCTTTCAAAATCCGTCAAGCTGACACCCATCAATCACGGGGCCCTGCGTGGTGGGCTGTCCCCTACCGCCGCTTCCGCAGGGAGCGCGGGCGAGCGCCGCCGGAACCTTCTTCCTGGCTTCCGTTTCCCTCGCGGTCGCGGGGAACCCTTTGAGGGGAGCACAGGGACCGAGCGTAAACAAGCAAGCCGAAGAGCGCTGAATAATGCTGCCGGCGTTTCTTGCCTGTCATTGAGCCAAGGCGAGAAATAAGATCGGGGGAGGAAATGCGCCACATTTTGCAGCGCGGACCTCTCAGGAGCCAGGTAAAGGTTCCTGTATTCATAAACTCCTGCCTTGTGCCTAAATATATATGCACTGGAGATAGATGTATGTCTGAGAATATATCCGTGAGCATAAAATCCCCTTTGGTGCGTCCGAAGGCTCTAGAGTCATGTCTCATTATCTATATCATATAGGTATACTTTTTCCCAGTGACTGTCCTTGTTCTGGATTTCATAAAAATAAATTCTCTAGGCACGCCCGAATATGCCCTCTTTGTTTTTGATATACATAGGGCTCTAAAAGCAAGCCAGTTCTTCGCCTTCGCGTGCCGGTGTGTGTGTGTGTGTGTTTTAATCTGTTTTTCTGCTGCTGTAAATAGGGCAAGATTAGGTCAACTTGTTAAGGGTGTAGTTTCACCTAGGACAGTTTAACAAAAGAATCAAGACAATAATGGGAGAAGCACAAAATTAATACATGCTTTTGTGTTGAAATACATACAATTAATAATTTGCATAAACTACATTTTAAATTCCTTTTACTAGCTGATTTTGTTGCTTTTGTGTGTTCTTCTTTCTTCCATAATTTGCATCCAACAGTTCCTCCAAATAGCCCAAGGTGGTGGACAAGATTTTAATATATATTTCCATCCCTTGTAAAGTAGATTACCCTAGAAGATACTGATTAGATCAGAACCATCCAATAGGATCTGGGTTAGAATGCTGGAATCTGAACACAGATCTTTCTAGTTGATAAGTCAGTTCCATATTTAGCGGTACTGTTTAAAGTAACCATGAATGTAAACTCTTTCTTTGGAGTTGGTTCAGAGAAATTTATGTTATGAGTCAGCTAGCACAATTGTACAATATTTTTATGGGCTAGTATCTCTTAAAGATGTATTTGCAAGGATATATTGTGAATAAGACCTGGCCTCTGACCTCTTGTCCAGTTCAATATGAGGATGCAGATAGAGGCATATTCCAGGTAAATAAAAGTGAAGAACACAAATATTCTGACTGCATCTCTTGGTCTGCATGCAGCCCACTTTACCAAAAAAGAATTATTTCAGTTTTGCCTGTCTAGCTTTAAAACTGATTTGGAAATAATCTTTCTAGATGTCTGGGTGCATGATTGTAAAATCTGAAAAAAATATTAGTCATATTATTATGAGTTACTTGGAGATGAGGATTAAGCTGCATGTAACACAATTGCAGGATTCACACATGCTGTTAAGCCATAGGGTAATTTGTTCAGTTTTAGGATAGTAAGTTGTATGAACCTCACCATTGTGTTTTGTGTGATTTATGGATTGGTATGATTTTGAACACAGTTATTGTAATTTATTCAGCAAAACTAGATTAAATAAGCTGTAGTTTAACATAATATGAAATCAGTGAGAATTAATTCTGTCTAAAACATACATAAGCATGCCTTTATCAGCCCTAAGGCAGTACTTCAACAACTTTTGTAATTACTTGGTCCGTTAGTTTCTGTTGCCACATGTATCTTTCACTCTACAGCTATTGTCCTTTCTTCCTGCTTCTGTTACAGGAATCAACTGAGATGGTAGCTCACAGCCATCTCCTCCCTCTGACTTAATGACCTCATCTCTGGCAGCATCTGTTACCATTATTATGTGACTTGCTTTTATTTCTGCTGGGTGGATTCAGTTCTTGAGATTTTCATCCATGAGAGAAAAACATGTGCACAGATATACGGTTTTGTTTCACTGTTAGCTGTTACTTCATTCAAATAGATAATATGTTTGGTGGCAAAAATAGGACAGTTTATTTGGAATTGAAACATGCAGCTTGCTAGGAAAAACCAAGGGTGATATTTCTGTATTTAAGAATAAGTATAAGACCTGAGCAGTCATGGGATTCATGACAAACAAAGTGGGCTGAAGGCATCTGCTTGCTTTGGAGCGGATAGGTTTTCTTCTACTCTATCACAGGTGGGTCAATCTTTTTCAGCTCAAAGACAACACTAAATTTAGGCAATCTGTTGAAGACTGGACTGAAAAATGAGCAGTTCCAAAGTTCATAGCATTATTTCCTTGTCCTTCCCTCCCATCAGCTATTCCATTCCTACCAAGGAATCATATAAAAGCATTAAATAAACATATAAAAATCTTTGTAGTTTCTACCTAATAATTCTTTTAAAATTTAGTAAAGGTAAGATATATTTTCAGCGTGGAAGGGAGGAATCAGTAGAGGATTATGATCTGAGAGGGAGATGGTGGGCAGAAGGCAAAAGGGACTTCTTCATATGATAGCCATGATTTCTTCTGCCCTCCTCCCCAAACAGCAGGATTTTGGAGGGGTACAATCAATCCCTGTGCACTCAAGATGCTGATTTTGACTGCCAGACAGTATCAGAACATTCAGATATAATCCAGGATGTGAAAAAGAATCTTGAGCCCTGGTTGGGTGAAGCAAGGAGCATAATTTTGTCCCAGCTTTGCTACCAGCTTTACCAGCTTCTAGGTTTTCCAACAGCTTTATCAGCAGGGGTGGGAAAACAGAGGCATGATAGTCTTGCAGTTTCCCATTTTATTCTACACATAAAATATTCCACATGTGGCCTGCATTTCAAGTGTACTGTATAATGAGAAGCAGTAGTTACTGCCTTTTCATGATTTTGGGGTTATTTTTTGTTGATTGAACCTACAAATGCAAACAGAATTCTCAAAATTCTGAGGGCAACCACTTGTCTGCTGCCTTTCTTGAAGGGATAATAGAAGTAGCTAAGGTGGAATTGACAGATGAGGAGAGATGATTGGTTAACCAATCATTATTAGAAAAGGTATTTCCATTTTGCATTAAACATACAGATAGTTTGTTCCCTACTTAGAAGCCATACTTGTATCTCAGTAGATTGTAAATTATGGAGCTATCTCTATTTATTTTTTTATTTTTTTGAGCAAGGTCAGCATGTGATGGTGTTACAGTTCCGGGAATTTCTGAAAAAAAACTGATTATTTGGATTGACTTCAGCTAGGATTCAAGTCTTGAATCAGTACCAAGGTGGTCTTTTACTTGGGTTAGTTATCTGAGTCAAAAAATAGGTAGAGGTAATGCATTCCTGTTCGTTCTGTTGGAATTCTCAGTAGTTTTCAGTATTATTGATTATGATATCCTCCTGGATTGTCTGGCAGGAATGGTTGTGGTAGACACTCTTTTACTGTATGTAGTTCCCAGAAGATAGAGCTAGGAAACACTTGTCCAGTGTCATAATTATCCTGTGACATCCATTGTTCCATTCTTTTTCCTATTCTGCTCAATATGTACATGAAAACGCTGGGAGTGGTATTCAGTATCCTCATAAGTCTCTGGAAATCTTGAACTGATATCTGGAAGCATTAATGATGGGAATGAGGTTAGTCAAGTGACCTTAAATTAATAAGATAGGTTGATTAAGACTTACTTATCCAACTGGATAGTTTGTACCCCTCTGAAGGAGACAGTATGCAACTTGAGGTGCTCCTAAACTCAGAATATCTGTGACATAAGAAGCATTTCTCCTGCCCAATTCAAGGTGCTCTTTACAGTGTATAAAGCCTTCCTACTTTAGGACCAAGCTGTTTCCAGACCACATGCACCCATACCTTACACCCTGCATGCTTAGTTAATCAACAGTGTACCTTTCACTATTTGACTTTGTGATTAGTTCTGCTTTCTCCATGACAGGGCCCATTTTGTGGAACAAACTGCTGATTATAATTTAGGAGGGAGCTCAAAGCCTATCTTATTTTTAACCTAGATTTTTAAATTATTTTAATTGTTTAATAGTATTATAACTGCGTTTTAAAATGAATTCTAACAACGTTTTTAGGTTGGTTTTGATGTATTTCTGTTTTTTAATTGTATTTCTTTAAGTTGCCCTGAATTGTTAGGAGAGTGGGCAGCATACTGTACAAATATTCCAAATACTAAGTAATGTTTATTTGGGTATGTACTCTTAGTTTGTGGTATGAACATTGTAGATAGCATGAGCTGGTTGGAAATGTGTGCAGCAACAGGACTAAGGCTGTCAGGTGAAAGTTTGGTGGTCTCATGCTTTTTCTCCCAGAAGCCCTCTGGGCCTAGAAACCTTAATTCCATCTTCTGCCTGGTAGTTCCCACTGCCATTCTCTGTCTTCTAGGAAATACTTCATCTGCTTCTATAATCTTTGTTACGTTGTGGCATTCCAAAAAGGAAAAAAGGAGAGAAATAATTGAATTCTATATTATCACCTGCTGACCCTCTAGCATTGAGGAGCACAGCAAGAGAAATCAGCCCTTCTTCCCACCCATCAACCCCCACCTACCTCCTTCTGGAAGATAGACAATCTCACAAAAGATAAATAAAATTTATTTATTAAATTTCTCCCCCACCCATCTCCCCCCCAAAAATCAATTTTTTAAAAAGGAAGAGAAAGAATATAAATATATGTTTGGCTGTATATAATCACAAGCAAACATTCAGTAGCAAAGGAGGTAAAAATATGGATTTGATCAGATTGTAGAGACATGGGATTTCTCAAAACAAACAAAGGCGTGCATAAGGCTCTGGGCAGACCACAAGATGATGCTGGTCTACCCTTAATTTAGAGGCAACTCTGCTGTAAAGAGGTTCAGAGTTGCATAAAACACAGCATTATTGAATTTATACGGAGAACATAAATGCTAAAGACAAAATATTAGATTTTAAAAACATACTGTCAGAATGAATGTGGAGTGGCCTTGCCTGTCCTTTCACAACAGTGCAGGCTCCTAGTTAGAGTAAATGTCAAAATCCTCTTCATGCTCTATGGAATTGTTCATTAAATTCCTCTCCCAAAGCCA